AACTGTATGCCAGAGTCTTCTCAGAAACTAACGAACAAAGTATTCTTGACTGCATTTTCGACCTAAGGGACAGAGGTCGAACATGTTTACTCATGGAGAAGACCTGTTCTAAGCGAAGGACATGGATGCGAGGAAAAGGGAGAATTACCATCCAGTGCAGCTGCTGCTACAACTTCACGAATGAAAAATAAGGGAATCCGCCGAGAATCCTCAGACACAATCAAGTAGATCCACTGCCTCCCATGATAAAGTGGATGATCAAAAGAATGGTCAGACGGGGTGTTCTGCCCGCTACCTGCATTCCAAACAGCAGCATTATCAACATCTATGACGAGGGTGATTGCATTCCTCCCCACATAGACCACCATGACTTCGTGAGGCCTTTTTGTACAGTCTCATTTATGAGTAAGAGCAACATCTTTTTTGGGAAATAAATTGAGATCATCGGCCCGGGTGAGTTCAAAGGCTCTGTGGAGATTCCCCTAACCAATTGGCCGGTGCTTATTCTCATAGGCAACGGTGCGGATGTTGCCAAGTATTGCATTCCAGGAGTGCGACATCGCAGAGTGTCTGTAACCTTCAGATGGATGGACGACAACAAAATGTCGTATGGGTTTCAGCCGGATCCACAATTGGAAGAGTTATTACCTTACGAGCTATGAGAGGGTTGCACCTCTGAGCACATGCAAAGGGAGTTTTTATCCTGTAGCGTGGCTTAGAAGGTCAGCTCGATCAGGAGCTCGTCACAGTAGGAACAGATGGTTAGGGGATTCTTTTCTACTTTTTTACATTACAATGATGTGATATGTGTCAAAGATGCTCAGCCTAAGATGTATACTTGGCATGAGACATTTTGGATGTACTTTGATGCAGACAACATATTATACTTTTTGAGGCGTTAGCCTACACATGATCTATAACATTTTGTTGGGACAAATTAATGAAATTTCTTTCAGAAATGTGTCTTTTTTTCAATTGCCTTTTGTGCGATGGATGGAAGCCACGAGTCATACGTTGGTTCGAAATTACAAAGAACAAGGAACGTAACAACAAATCTTTAACAATAATAAAATTCAAATAAAAATAATCACAAATAAACAAACAACAAAACAATTTTCTTTTGAAAATCAACCAACTAAATTTAAATTTTGAAAACATATTTTAAAAAATTAAATGTGATAAAAACAACAAGCAAAGAAGATAAATCTGTTGAGTGGATTCTCTCGATTTCGGAGTTTCTTACTCTTTGCTCGCGCAACACAACTATCTTTGTCTGCACTAATGCTCCTCACATCCCCATGGAATTTCACATCCTGCACAAAGCCCCACAAAAATTCTATATACCTTCCTCAAGAATTTCAACCTCTTCACATGACACATATCTTTGGGATACCCACATTTCATATCTCATTTTTTAATCAGTCCTAAAATTCTTATTCACTACTGTCGAGGTTGGTCCCTACTTTCTGATGCTCTCTTTTGAGAATTGGTCACACATTTTAATTCTAATTTTTGAATAAATCCTAAATTTTTTATTTATTACTTTTGAGGTCAGTCCCTACTTTCTGACGCTCTCTTTTGAGAATTGATCACACATTTCAATTCTCATTTTCGAATCGGTCCTAAATTTCTGATTCACTACTTTCGAGGTCAGTCCCTACTTTTCGATGCTCTCTTTTGAGAATTGATCACACATTTCAATTCTCATTTTTGAATCAGTCCTAAATTTCTGATTCACTACTTTTGAGGCCAGTTCATACTTTGAGACACTCTTTTTTGAGAATTGATCACACATTTCAAATCTCATTTTTTAATCAGTCCTAAATTTTTGATTCACTACTTTTGAGGTCGGTCTCTACTTTCCGACACTCTCTTTTGAGAATTGATCACACATTTCAATTCTCATTTTTGAATCAGTCATAAATTTCTGATTCACTACTTTGAGGTTGGTCCCTACTTTCCGACAATCTCTTTTGAGAATTAATCACACATTTCAATTCTCATTTTCGGATCAGTCCTAAATTTTTGATTCACTACTTTCAAGGTCAGTCCCTACTTTGCAACGCTCTCTTTTGAGAATTGATCCCACATTTCAATTCTCATTTTTGAATCAGTCCTAAATTTTTAATTCACTACTTTCGAGGTCGGTCCCGACTTTCTGACGCTCTCTTTTGATAAGTAATCACGCATTTCAATTCTCACTTTTGAATCAGTGCCTAAATTTTGATTCCCATCTTTTGAGGTTGGTACCTACATTCTAACTCTCTTTCAGAAATTGATACCTAAACTTCATACCACATTTCGGGATCAGTTCCTAAACTTCATTTTTGGTTGTTGTATTCCTGTTATATGTGAAATGCAATGCATCTTATTACACGTACTATTTAACATTATCTGCACTTATTTCATTCGGATCAATACAATCTCATATGACATGTACAAAATATAAAATAAGTTTGGGGGAGGGATTAATGCATATAGACTTACAGTAAAGTATTTCTCATATTTGAGCAAAAGATTATAATTTTTTTTCAGTAGGGACTCATGTTAGGAGTCCTGATGATTTAATGTGTTATATAATAACATCATTAGAATGTGAATAGTTATTACAAGGGGATTCAAATTAATGGCCTCATTACCAATTCCTACGCTTGAACAACTTTCGCCTGAACCTAAGAAATTCTCAAAATAATTAAAAAGGTGTAATTAATATATTAGCAGTTAACCAAAGTCATTTTAAACCTTTTAGTTATTTACTCGACCAAGTTGATTGAGTCTTAACTTTTAAATAAATTATAATTTGTGGGGAATTTACATTAAGGAGGTTTTGGAGCCTACCAATTAGGACAAATTGAACATTCAAAAATATTAAATGAAATGGTCTCAACCAGATATAATAATTCTCAGTGGAATAAGGTGGGAAGAAAAGAAGAAAAAAAAGGTTAAGATGTGTGAATGGCATGATTTAAAAGAAAAATCAAAATAAGTGGCTAAAACTCCTTGAGGAAAAACTTAAGGTGGGCCTAAAACATTAATATGGGTGCTCACGTTATCTTTAAATTAATAAAACTTAAAAAACCTGCTTGATGAATTTCTTAGGATATTATAGTCAGAAAAAATGTTAAGTATTATTAGGTTGGTTGGGTGACTGTTAAATAATATGAAAATTATTTTTGAGGATTGAAAATATTTGTCATGTTATATTAAGATTTTTTAGATTTATTTAGGTCTTAAAGAGCAAGAATTAAAGAAAGCGATAAGTTATTAGAAATTAATGAAGATGCTACCCTAAAATGATGTTTGCATATTCTTTATTATAATTATATAATTTAATTAAAGAACCTAGATAGCTAAATGAGAACTACAAACACTATTTGAGTCTAAGCTAAAATATGAGATTAGTTGAGAGCACGAATGAGTAAGTTTGAGGAAATTGACATAAAATAATTTTACATGTTTTCCTGCATTTAATTTTGTCTTTTCCTTCTTATTTATCATAACCTTTTGCATGAAAAAGGTTGTTTTTGGTGTTTTACACGTTACAGGAGCATCAACTGGCCTTTTGAAGCGATAAAATTGAGTGTTCATATTGTTGTCCAAGTTATCTTCAAATTAATAAACCTTAAAAAAACCTGCTTGATGAATTTCTTAGGATATTATTGTCCAAAAATATGTTAAGTATTATTAGATTGGTTGGGTGACTGTTAACTAATTTGAAATTTATTTTTGAAGAATGAAAATATTTTAGTCACGTTAGATTAATATTTTTTAGATTTATTTAGTTCTAGAAGATGAGGAATTAGAGAAAGTGATAAGTTATTTGAAATTAATGAAAAACCTATCCTAAAATGATGTTTGCATATCCTTTATTATAATTATATAATCTAATTAAAGAACCAGGATGGCTACATATGAACTACAAACACCATTTGAGTCTAAGCTAAAATATGAGATTAGTTAAGCGCAAGAATAGGCAAGTTCGAGGAAATTCACATAAAATAATTTTATATGTTTTCTTGCATTTAATTTTGTCTTTTCTTTCTTATTTATCATAAACATTTGCTTGAAAAAGGTTGTTTTTGGTATTTTACACGTTACAGGAGCATCAACAGGCATTTTGAAGAGAGAAAATTGAGTGTTCATAGAAGCTAACTATCATAGCCATGCCCATAATCGACATAATTACACAGTTAGGGTGGTGTGGTTACACCAAACTTAGGCATAACTACCGTATCCAATGTAGCTACCCTGCAGTTGGGCTCAACTATGCTACCCCACAAATAGTTTGGCATAACTACGATGATTTCAGCCATTACCTTGCCATCGAGGAAGCTTCTATACTTGGAATGAATTACCTTGCTACACCTAGGCAAAGCCTATAAGAGACCAGGTTATATCTTAGGCGGCTGGAGGTTGAAGTTGGAGAGAGTTTTGGAAAGTTTGAGAGTTCCATTACGGTTTCTGCTTCCTTGCTTGAGGGAGGAAGCTCTAAGAGTTGTTTTCTCTTATTTGCCCATTGTTTCTTATTTTTCTTTGAGAAAACCTTTACAAAGTTTTCTAATGACATCTTTGACATAAAAGCAAATCATATCCTTGTAAATAAAATAAATAAATATATCTCCCCATCACTAACAACTCGCCTTGCTTTCATTTCATATTCCCCTAATAAGCATAATTATATCTTTAGAAGCATAAAGAAAAAAAAAAGAAAAACTTAATATTTTTTAAGCTGGCAAAATCCTTACAGCATAATAATGTGTCCTAAGAAAATTTATAAGGGAGACAGAGTTATAAAAGTAGCAAAATTTGATCAACATTATTCTTGAGATTAATTTTCTTAAATTTCAAATAAAATAAGAAAAATTAATTAAGTAATTGAATGGATGCATTTCTTTCTTGCATAGCAAATAAACGATATTCGTGATTCGTTAAATCCATCAAAAGTCCCATAAACAGGCTCAAACGAACAATAAAGAAAATTGATATAGCTATGTAAGGCGCAATTTTATTTTATTTTATTTTTCTCATTTCGACAATAGATTGCGTTAGTGTGCTCGTTCCATGCACCATTGCCCCCTCCCTCATTGGGCATCAGTTGAAAAACCTGGTAGACTGAACAATATAACAATTTGCTAAGGGCACAAGGAGTAAATTTTACTAATTTTTTTGCTGGAAATCCATGCTAACACAATCCCTGGCAAATCAAATAAATCTCTTTTGAGCAAGATCTTGTAGCCTTGGGCCTTAACCATGACACTTTTCTGAACCTATGCTTGCAAAATTTCGCAAAATCTGCAAATCATATCACCCATAAGAAAATAAAAAATGAATAAGTTATATTCATAAAGTGATTTGATTGACGTCTAATATCTTAGTTGACAGCTAATTACTGACTAAGTATAGATGCTTTCTACTATTTCAGAAGGAATTGGGGCTCGCTCGCTTTGGGTAGTTTGTCACAATTTCAGACAGCTCATGATTATTTTTAATAGAAACAAATCTGCTAGAATGTGGCTGCTACGAGAAAATTATTAGGAAAATTTACATGCAAATCACAAAAGTATTTGCATATCTAATATCACAACTTTCATATTTATATTTATAGCAGTTTAGTGTAAAAAAATCTATACATGAAAATGTGTATTTATTAGTAATAGTGGTATTTTTTAATAGTGCTATTTTTTATTTGTTGTTAAAAGTTTAAGTGCTATGCATGTAAATGTTGAAGTTCAGGTCTAGATATGTAGATATATAAGAATTGTGTGGTAAGCAAATGCCCCACATTAATATTCTATTTTATCAAAGAAACAAGGCCAATAGATTCCATAATAGTTATCAAAATTCTAATTAACACCGTCATTGTCGGTCTTAAGCACGGATGTGAAAAGTGGAGGGTTGCGTTAGGTATTCCACAGCCAATGTAAAACTTGTCGAAAAAATCATGGCATAAATCAATTTAATCATTGTGTAAGTGTTAGGGCATCCCCTGGAAGTGACGTGCTGTATGACCTGAATACAGTGAAAAAAGTACAAGGACCGTTACACCAGCGCCCAAGTGTAGTGTCAAATAAGTAAGGGTTCTCACATTACGGACGAATGCGGGCAAAGATGTTAGTCCATGAAACTAATGAAATAATATTATAATAGAATCTTGGAATATAGATACTATCAATGGTAAATTAATGGAATTAGTTGATATTTTGATTCATAGAAAGATTAATATCTTATGTATTCAAGAAACAAAATGGGTTGAAGAAAAGCCTAAGGAGACTGATAACTTAGGTTTTAAACTTTGATATTCTGGTAAGAGTCACACTAGAAATAGTGTAAGTGCAATTATAGATAAGAGTTTGAAAAATAATGTTGTAAAAATTATTAAAGTTGGAGATAGAATTATAGCCCTTAAGATTATCTTTGATGCAAGATTTTTAATATTATAAGTGTTTATGCTTCTCAAGTAAGTTTAGATATAGGGTCTAAAGAGAAATTCTGGAAAGACCTAGAAGACTTAATTTAAATGATACATTGAAGAAAGAATTTTTATTGGAGGAGATTTAAATTAAATGGACATGTTTAAATGGACATGTTGGTAGAGTGGTAGAATATTTCAGAAATATTCATGGTGGCTACTGTTTTGGAGTGACTAATGAAGAAGATAGAGCTATTTTAGACTTTGTTTTAGCGTAGGATTTTGTTATTTCTAATCTTCATTCAAGAAAAGAGATGAGCGTCTTATTATAAATTGATTATTTTCTTATGAGAAGAAGAGACCGTCGAGATTATAAGGATTGTAATGTCATTCCAAGTAATGATTTAAGTATCCAACATCATTTACTAGTTCTAGATTTTAAGATGAGTCGTACAATAAATAATACAAAGACTCTTCATCGTAGAATTAGATGGGGAAACCAAAAATACATATAAAATTATTTTTATGAGTAAAATTCAAGATTTCAAAATTTGGGATGTTCATGAGGAAGCAAATGTTATGTGGGATAAAATAACAAACACTAATAAACAAGTGACAAAAGTTGTGCTTGGAGAATAAAAAGAAAATTTTTTATAAAAAAAAATAGTTGGTGTTAGAATAATAATGTGCAAGATAAAATAAAATATAAAAAATTATGTTATAAAAATTGGTTTAAATGTAAATGCTTAGAGAATTGAGAAAAATATCAAACGGCCCGCAGGGAGTCTAAAAGAACAATCTGTGATGCTAAAAATCTTGTTTTTAATGATCTTTATAATAGATTAGATACTAAGAAGAGTAAAAAATATATGTATAAACAAGTCAAACAAAGAGAAAAGAAAAGTAAAGATTTAACCAAAGTAAAGTGTATTAAAGAAGAAAATCAATAAGTGTTTTTCTTAGAAAAAGATATTTAACATAAGTGCTTGAGCTATTTTGATGAACTTTTTAATGAATTTTTTGAAAATACGATCGATCTTAGTGATCTTAATATCGTGAATAATAATAAAATGTTTTGTTTTTACCGACACATTAGTAAAAAAGAAGAGGAGGTTTTAAAACCAAGGGTGGGAAGTCTGTAGGATCTGATGATATCCAAAATGAAGTATGGAAATATTTAGGAGATTTGGGAGTTTCTCGGCCTACTAAACTCTTTAATATTATTTTAAAAACTAAAAAGATGTTTGAGGAATGGAGGAGTATTTTGGTCCCCATTTTTAAGAATAAAGAGATGCACAAAAGTGTGCAAATTATAGATGAATTAAGTTGATGTGTCATACTTTAAAATGTGTCATACTTCAAAATTATGGGAGAGGGTAATTGAACATAGGTTAAGACGTATTACAAAGATATCTCATATCAATTTGGATTCATGTCAGGCAGGTCTACTATGGAAGCTATACATTTATTGAGAGGTTTGATGGAGAAGTTCAGACAAAAAAAGGAGATCAACATTTGATTTTTTTTTATTTAGAAAAACTAGAGCTCTTGAGAAGAAAGGTGTTGATATGCCTTGTATTCAAGTCATTAAAGATATGTATACTAGAGTTATTACTTGTGTTCGAACTGAAGGAGGATTGACCAAATTTTTTCTATTTCTATTGGATTACATCAGGATTCGGCTTTAAGCCCATATCTTTTTGCTTTAGTTAAGGATGGTCTTACTGGACATTTATAGGAGGATTTACCTTGGTGTATGCTTTTTGCTGATAATATCCTTCTCGTGGATAAGACAAGAGAAAAAGCCCAGAAAAAACCAGAATTATGGAGGTCTACATTGGAGTCTAAAGGCCTTCTTTTGAGTAAAACTAAAATTGAATACATGGAATGTAATTGTAGTAATAGTAGGGTTCTAGTGACAGAAGTGTAACTTTGAGTGATCAAATTATTATAAGATGTGAACGATTTAAATATCTCAGGCTTGTTGTTCAAAGCGATGGTGATATAGATGGGGATGTTAATAATAGAATTCAAGTTGGTTGGTTGAGAAGTGGAGGCATCAAGTTGGTGGTTGAAACGGAAGAATGCTTCGGTCCGTTTGTGTGATAACTGAAAGTAAAATTTTATAAGACATTTTATAAGACGGTGGTGAGAATTGCAATGCTCTATGGCGCTGAATGTTGGCTTTTAAAAGAGAAGCATAATATCAAGTTAAGTGTTGCCAAGAAGAGAATGGTTAGGGGGATGAGTGGCTTTACACTTAGAGACAAAATGCGAAATGAATATATCCGTAATAGGGTTGGTGTTAGCTCCTGTGACGGACAAAATTAGAGAAAGTCGTCTTAGATGGTTTGGTCACATTAAGCGTCGACCATCTGATGATCTGATTAGGAGAGTAGATGTTTTAGATTCGACTTATGTTAAGAAAAGCAGAGGTAGGCCTAGGAAGACTTGGGCTAATTGTATAAAAAAGGATTTTAATTTATTAGAACTAATGAAAATATGACACAAAAAAGGACGCAATAGAGAAAAAGGATTATGTAGCCGACCCCACGTAGTGGGATTAAGACTTCGTTGTTGTTGTTGCTGTAATTCTATAACTATTTCCATAGAAAACTGCAGCCATTGCAGAAACAATGCCTGGGAAGGAAGAATCTGAAGTTTTCCTAAATTGTTTTGACAACGTTGTATAACTACATGAAAGCCCTTAGACAAAATTTATAGAGAATGAGGATATATATTATTTTTAACTAGACCTTCAGTCATTCTTACATGATTATAAAATAACTATATTATCTAGCATTCCTTAAAATTGAAAGCATAAAAAGAAGAAGAAACCAAATGAATTACCTTCTGTATCTTTACTCTCCAGAGCTTAATTCTAACTAGACCTTCAGTCATTCTAATATGATTATGAAATACCTATATTATCTAGCATTCCTTAAAACTGAAAGCATAAAAAGAAGAAGAAACCAAATTAATTACCTTCTGTATCTTTACTCTCCAGAAGCTTAATTACAATATTACCACCACGTCGAAGGACACCATTATCACTTTTATCATCTTCAAAACCGTCAAGCAACTCCAAATTAACTTTGCCCGGTGAATTGCCAATAGCCAAAGAGAGTGCTCTTTTACCAAGTTCGCACGACAGAGCAGCATCTTTTGTTGTGATTCCAGAAACTATGGGACACATATCAGAGAGTACCACAGAGAAACCCATTCCCTGTAAAACAGTAACAAATTTTCTACTAAAGCTCTTCTCGCTGAAGCATTATATATGTATATATAGATATCTATATATATATATATATATATATATAGATAAGAGCAGGCTAAAGAATAACCATCAAAAAAAGCAGAAAGAATAGGTGGAAGGTCAATTTCGACAGAGAAAATAATAAATGTAAAAGGTAGGCCAGAAACCGGAGATAGAAAACCTGAGAGAGACAAAATAATGTGGCAAAGGTATCCAAAATTTAAGAAAATCACAAATGTAATTGAGCTAGAGGCATTCCAAATCCACGTTTTTATGTTTTGGAGGATTTAAATTTTAATTTTTGGAAACAAGTTCCCAGGTCAAATGGTAGTCGATCAAGAAAAGCAACTATTCCTTTCAAATGAAACTATAAAGTAGCAAAGCCATTGCCGAGTTCGAAGCACGGATGCGAAAACGTAGAGGGTTGTGTTAGACAGTCGACACAAAGCATATAATATTTGTCAAAAAAGCATGGCTGCGATAATGAGCAAATATAGATTTCATGATGTAAGGGCCATGAAAAGATGAACTATATTTGAGGAACTACATCAGAGATACATCCAACAACAACAATAACAACAACAAAGCCTTAATCCCACTACGTGGGGACGGCTACATGAATCCTTTTTCTCCATTGCGTCCTATTTAGTGTCATATTTTCATTTAGTTCTAGTAAATTAAGATCATTTTTTATACAATAAGCCCAAGCCCAAGTATTCCTAGGTCTATCTCTGTCTTTCTTAACACAATTTAAATCTAAAACATCTATTCTCCTAATTGAATCATCAGATGGTCAACGTTTAATGTGACCAAACCATTTAAGATGACTTTCTCTAATTTTGTCCGTCACAAAAGCTACACAAACCCTATCACAAATATATTCATTTCGCATTTTTTCTCTAAGTGTAAAGCCACTCATCCACCTAATCATTCTCATCTCGGCCACACCCCAACATTCAGCGCCATAGAGCATTGCAGGTCTCACCACCATCTTATAAAATTTTCCTTTCAGTCTAAGCGGTACTTTTCTATCACACAAAAGGCCCGAAGCATTCCTCCACTTCAACCAACCAACTTGATATCTACTATTAACATCCCCATCTATATCACCATCGCTTTGAACAACGGAACCGAGATATCTAAATCGTTCACACCTTTTAATAATTTGATCACCCAAAGCCACACTTCTGTCACTAGAACTATTACTACTAAAATTACATTCCATGTATTCAGTTTTAGTTCTACTTAAACGAAGGCCTTTAGACTCCAATGTAGACCTCCATAATTCAAGTTTTTCCTGGGCTTTTTCGCTCGTTTTATCCACGAGAAGAATATCATCAGCAAAAAACATACACCAAGGTACA